AAAGAAGAGGAACACGGAAAACCGCCAGTAAATGCGAAACCGAAAGAAAAAGACGAGAAAGAATCAGAACCACCGAGATATCACATGAAGCCCGAAGAAAAACCTGAAATATTGAAAGATCACATCAAACCGGAACAAACTGGAAAAGAAAATGAACACATGCCCCGGGAAATGAAGAAACCTCATCCAAACAATGGAAAAGAGAATATGTGCCCTGCTACAAAGGCGGAGGAACCGAAAGATATGAAACATTCTTTCCTGCACACAGCCGTGCTTTATGAACCTGAACAAAGTTACGTTTTAGTACAACCTGAGCCACATTTACAATCGATTTTTAAAGGCATCGAAATTATTCCTACCTTCGTGGATCATTCAGTCGGAATTAATTATGTGGAGAGCTGGTAACGCTTACGGAGTGGGGATGGAGAGTAGAATTATAGACAAAGATAGATTTCAAGTCGGGAGAGACGGGAGAGAAAGATAGTAACATACAAAAGCTAATTTCTGGTACTTGCTAACTGGAGAATTTGAAATACTCTCTCCTGAAATTACCGGTGCAACTAGATTGTTTCAGAATTGCAGATTTGCGCAAATGAAAATTTTATATTGATTCGCAATATTATGAGATCTCTGATGCACATTTTGCAACGATACGCCGTGAAATACGAATTTCTGATGCTAAATATAGGAAAAAAAAAACTTGTAAAACGATTACTTACAAAATATTGAATTAAACACAAAAAATGTTCCTACCAAAAACCAAGACTACATCACCTTATAAGTGTACTGAGAGTAGCATGCGTAAGCGTATAATTACTTATAATATTTATATGATTTGCACTAATTGCGAGAGAATTTCTTAAGGGAAATAAATAAATTTAAACTACAAAAGAAATTAAATGAATATATGATGAAAATATGATGAGTTCATTAGTGAACTGTCATGGAACTGCAATACCGATGAAGATATCAGCGGAAAGCTCTTAAATTATGTCATCCGTAGTTATATCTATGTAATTGTGTTTCTGTACGGTAGATATGTTTTAGAAAAAAAAAAAAACTTCCATGCAAGGATAGAATTGAGAGATTACGTTGATGTTTTTTCGTGATAAATGTCATGACTTTTACCAGCTTAAGTAAATGTATATTATTTATAGAATTATTATTAATAAAAATAATTATTTATAAAATTTATGTTCAACAAGTGTTGTGGCTTGCATATGTATGCGAAATGGAAATTGTATTACTACAGCCACCACCGAAGGAAGAGGCTATAGTCATTTCGTCCTAATAGGAAACGTCAGAGACGCGATAAAGGGTACATATTATTGATTAGCGTCGAATTCTCAATCGATCTACTCATTAATATCCGTCAGTGTGTTTCTTGCAAACATTGTAATCTATTAACGTGTTAAAGTTTGACAGAAACACGGGGATCTTGAATGCGGGCTGATACTGAAACGATGCGTCCACGGGCAAGCGTAAACTGACAGTATTTCCGTTTCTCTAGGTAGAAATTTATGCACTTGTGTTCGCCAGTCATACATTGTGAAAGATAGAAAATTGAAATTTCCCAGGTATGTGTTATTGAAAGCACTACTATTCATATTTACAAAAGCCTATTCATGCCCTCATAAAGCGGTAAATAATAAAGTCTATTAGTAAATCAACAATTTCAAAAAAATTCTCTAATACTCTGATCTAGTGTTCTTCTAACGTCAATTCTTCGCAATGTCAATTTTATCTTACCGCAGCGCGGTCAGTTCGAATAAATTTGATATTAATATGATAAAATAAATGGTGGCGGATGTAACATTCGATCCCTGGGGAATATGTTATTTGTATAAAAGCAGATGGGGTTGTGTCCCATCATCTATTAGTAACAGGAATTGAAATAAAATGTAAATGTAAATGTGCAGCATAATTTTTTGGATTCTTGCGATTACTAAAAACTTCAATAATCTGAATAAGATGGAAAACGTTAATGGACTTTTCCTAGAATTTCTAGCCGATATTTGTTAAAGCTGGTGAAAAGGGAGGGAAAGGAAATCAATCTAAGCGTTCCATTAAAATGTTTGTGGTCCACTTTTTTACTGTTTTTTCTTTTTTTTTTTTTTTTTTGATACCCTATTACGTGAGCGTTGTATATGCCTGGAATTTGATTTAATACAAACATTTTATAAATAAATTTGAAATCATTTTTACATGTTATGGGAAACCGGATTACAATGTGAATTATGCTTCAAGATAAAGTTTAATCAAACACTTCGCCTACTATCGTATGACATTTGCTACATTAGTCTCGGTCACATACATAGGAGTTTCTACAGATGGCGAGTTTCACATAATTATATTCTGTAGGCCAATAGTGTTCATCTGTGATTATACACCGTCTGTCGCAGCAATCTAACTGGTCCTTAAAATGTTTTTAGCATAAAATGATAGATGTACAGTTGGCAGGACTAAAAAAAAAGATCGGATTTCTTCTTTATATCTTTAAAATTTATTTTTTTAATCTTCTCTTACATCTATCATCGTGGAAGGGGAAGAGTATACCCTAAGTCTTATTCCATTTCTCATATGAGAAATCCTAAACAATGTATTTTAGGTACATATATGGTGTCCTTGGTCCACCTAATGCAAACTAATGCGAATTTGCTAGGTTCGCTCGTCTGTACACGGCCTGTTGTCGTTCGTGAATTACGTGAGATAAAAAGCGTAAATTAATAAGTATATCTTTGTTTAGTTCGCGGGTGAAACTAAAATGCGCATATGGATGTGACCCGCTCGCAAAAGCTCAAAGACACTTTTTGCTTTTTTCACAGCTTAACTTGAGATGGTCCATGACAAGGTTTCTTCGTAAAACAAAGAGAGAGTCTCCTTAGTTAACTTTTTATCGTTTCTTTTATTTTTGCATTTAGTTATACTTTTAAAATAAAATTTACGCAATTTCTATTTTTCATTAACCATATTAAAGGTAAGTGTGCGTACTTTGATCGTGACAGGCAATTAATACGCAGATGTATTTAATAGTTTTTACGGCAATAATTCAGTTAACGTTTTTTATTTATTTTTTTATTCGTTTTTTATTTACCTAGACATGAAACTAAACTAAGATAGATCAACAGTCGAATTCCATGGACTCTTAGAAGTAAATCTTAAAAAACTAGTAAAAAAACTATATATAAACATATATAATAATAATAATAAAAATAATAATAATAATAATAATAATAATTAAATAACAATTCATGTCATATAATAAATAAGAAAAAAAAAAAAAAAAAACAAAAGAAAAGAGGCATGTACACAACTAGCACAGAGGCAACCAGTATAGAAGCAAATTGCAAGTGAACTCCTAAGCCATCGCAAACATGCAAAAGTTTCACAACCGATTAGGTAAACAACACAAATTAATTTCATTATAATGATCCGGTTAAGATTAAAAATTAATTTAAATACGACATTGGTAAATAGCGCGTATTAAGCAAAGTTGTTTTGATAGATTCCGAATTGAAGAATTGAAGAACTCTTAACGGGTTAAAGAGCTCTTAATTATATTTACATTTACTCAGCTTAAGGAACATGAAGTGTCTAGAGAAGCGATTAGGGACAATAAAGCTTATCTCACTAAGTAATGTGGACGAAACGATATTACCATTAATTAACTTAATTAAGAAGGAGACACCAAGTATAAATCTATGGTTTTCAAGTGACTGTAAGGATAACACAAGCAATCTATTTCCATAAGGAGGCAAAGAGATAAGCGGGTTCCGACCCAAATTCCCAATGGCTTGAATGATCTGTTATGAAGATAAGAGCTTATCCATTTCACTAAACAGAAAGAGAAGCCAGAGGTATAGAGTTTGAAGATCAATAAATTGTGGTTAACTAAGTGAAGCGCTTAACTAAAATCAGTCTATACGACGTCCATGCAAAGGTCACTAGAAAAAGCCTTGAAAATATGGCAGGTAAACTCTAAGAGATTCGTGACAGTAGATCTATCTTTCCGAAAGCCACGCTGGAGCGGAGAAATATAAGAACACTAACTTTGGCGATGCTCCTACAGTTCTCAGCCTAATGTTTATTTCCACATTTGTAAATTGGAATAAGGAAACTACTCTTTCAGCACAAAGAGAAAATACCTAATTTCAAGGACTGAGTAAATATCACTGAAATAACAGCACATAGCTCGAAAGAGCATATTTTAAGTATACATGGTGGCATCCCATCAGTTCCAGGCGTCGAACTATATTTTAGAGACCTTAAATCATCTAAAACATCATTTTCTGAAATGAGCAAGTTAGGAATCAAAACCGAGCTAGATATCGGGTACGGATAGCTGATGTCAGTTGAATCAGAATTAGCCGCTGAAAAATTTCAGAAAAGTCGGAAGTATTCAGCAAAGAAATTAAAGATTTTAATACCATCAGAGAACTCAGAGCCATTGAAAGAAATATGTGAGGGATTTTGGAAAAATAAAAAAAAAAATCTAGGATTTACAAACAGTGAGTATTTTATCGACTGAAGGCGTCTGCAATAATATTAATTAAGTCTATGGCTTGATGCGGAATAGGCAAAACAGTCATAAGCAGAACCACTTTTGACGAATTTTTGAAAAAGTTTGTTTTTCCTATTTTTAAAATATTTAATTGCCTTATTAAACCACGGCAATTATCTATATCTATAAAGTCAAGTGGCTTGTGGTAAATTGAAGTTGCCCAACGCCATATCTATATCAGTAGATTTAGACTTTTCGGCCATATCAAAAATGAGAGCAGTTAGTAGCAGTTAGTTAGCAGTAGAGTTATCCGCGTTTGGGGGGATATAGGAGCAAGTTACGTATAACTGTTTATTGGCAATTTTGCCCCGAAGGAATAACAAACTCAATTGAATAGAATGAGATTGCAGCAGAGACGACCATTAAATTATCACCATCAGAGCGATTCAAGGGGTCCTTTCTGAAAATCTGGAAAGAATTGTGAAAAAGTTCCGACGAATGTTGTTGACATGGAAAAAGAATTAAAAGAGCAAAGAAATAATAAAAAATAAAATTGCCAATGTGGGCAATATTATGCCAACAACATCGAAAATTTTACAATAGACACACAGAGTACTTACGACTTAACCGTTTTCCCGCCTTCCAGATAATAGGCTTTGTTTTTAACTTTAAAAGCAGACATAACCCAGATGCTCTGCCGACCTATAAAAATGGCAAATAAAATTCATATTCTCATAAAAATTCAGTGAAACAAAGAAAGAAAAAGAAAGAATAAGAAAGTTATATACGACTGTGGTCAACTCTTTTATAGCCACTGCCGGTACCTTGAAAAAGAAATAAATTAAATTTCGAAATTTTATAACGTTGAGTGCGCGTGGCAAATAAATTTAATTTTTGAAAGCAGGAAGCTCATTTTGTTTAGCATTGTGGGCGTGTTCTTTCGCC